GTGATTTTACACATCTCTTGGTTGAAACAGAGTTACAAATACAGAGCTGAGCATTGGGATACATCATGTAAATGTGTGACTCTCCCTGGAGGACTTTCTGTCCCCAAAGTAATGATTGAATTACAATTGAGTTATAAATATGATAGTCCCATCTGTGATCAACATTAAAATTTTCCTGATGTAGTATTTAAAGTAAAAATATATCCTAAAGCCTTCTGAACTACTGCACATTTGAATGTAGTTAAGTAAAATAAGAAGTATGATTCTTAATTTTTACTATCATGTCACATTTCAGTTGGAACATTTTGGAATTTGAAGTCTTGTTAAGTCTCCATGAAATTATATGAGAGAAGTAAAGAGGAGGGAGAGAAAGAAACGTTCACACTACAGGATGGTGAACTGTAGAATGCTGGAGCATGTTAAATCCTTTTCTCTATCAAGTATTGATGTCCATTGCATTGTTGTTCCTAGTTCTTATGATGTGAACAATCTTAGCTATCTCGTGATAAGAATATTATATACATTTTGCTATACAATATCTAAAACATTATTGATAATATATGGCCACAGGAAAACCTTTACATGCTGTGCATTTGAACCGTGTACTAGATATATTCATAAATGATAAGCACACATTTGGATAACCCACTCTATGATAATCTTTTAAAGTAAACTATCCTTCGAGACTGGCTCCATCGCCTAGCAGTTAAGTTTGGGGCACTCTGCTCTGGCAGCCTGAGTTCAGCTCCCAGGAGCGGACCTACACCACTCATTGGTGGCCATGCCGTGGCGGCAACCCACTTACAAAATAGAGGAAGACCGGCACAGATGTTAGCTCAGGGTGAATCTTCCTCAGGCAAACAGAGGAAGATTGGCAACAGATGTTAGGTCAGGGCGAATCTTCCTCAGCCAAAAAATAATAATAATAATAAACTAAACTATCCTTCAAAACTCTTAGCATTTCAGCAGGTTCATTAAAACCTTCCAGATAATACTATCAGTTACAAAGATGTTCAATGAAATTAGAAATAAGAAAATCATTTTAGAATATTTTCCAAGTGTTGAAAAGAGATATACACTAAGCGTGTCTTCAACTTTATTCCTCCTACTGTTGACTATTCTGCACGTGGTTTGTGCTAAGTATCCCATAGCTAGAATATGATATTTTCATATTATTTTATCAAGGTAAAATCCTACCTGCTATAATAGATAAGTCCCAACTTCTCTGTCGTTTAACATAACAAAAGTTCATTTTTCACAGCAGAATCATCCAGGGGGTTCTTGGTTGGGCAGGCTTCTACATGGTCGCTCGGTACCGGTGCTTCTTCCATCTTCTTTAGGGCTCTGTCCTCTTCTAGGTCCTAGGAGTCCTCTTCATTCAGCTGATGGATGGTAAAAGAGACTATGGCCAAGGCCCACCTGTTTCTTAATCACACTGATCTGGAAGTCACTTTTCTTCATATTTCACCAGTGAGAACTAGTCACACAGCCCCATCTACAAGGGAAAAGGAGCTGGGAAATGCTATGGGTAGCCACTCCCCAGCATCCTTCTGCGCTGGATGGGGCCCACAGACTGTTCAGCTAGGTGTCTCTACCACATGTCATTTGCATTTCTTGTCAATATCCTTTGCCTTTGAAGATCTAAAATTGTTACAGAGCAAGTCAAATCATCACACACATTCCATATGCAATGGATCTTTTTGGTATAGGATAGATATATCTGTTATGTCTCTTCATAACACTAAAGTAGACTTCAACTGCATCTGAATGTTTATATCAAAAATAGTGCTAATAATAATAAAAATAATAATTTAAAATTGGGATGAGTAAAATTTCAGCATATACAAAGAATGTTCATTCTGTCCCATCCTATCCTTGACACCTCTTCAATGTTTTAAGTTTATGATGAGACATATTTCCCCATTTTTCCAAACAGAAAGCATAGAAATATTAGGTAGTGCTGGAAGAGTCTTTAATCCATCAAGGCCTTGGTTAGCATCTTTTAGGCTGAGGTCCAGCAGGATAATGACCTTGTTTACTTACATTTTTTCGGATCTTACCAAATTGCTAAGGGAGATTTATACTGTCACACCCTGGCTCCACTTATCAAAATACCATCATTTGCTCTAAATATGACTTTAAGCAGTTGTGGAATCTAAATCTTACCTTTTTTCCCCACTGCTAGAGAAAGTACCCGTGAGTGAAGGAAAGCAAGTGCTTACCATTTGATTTCAAATAAACAGAACAGTACATATAAGGTTTGTGTGAACTATAAAAATAAAAATTACCTTGAAATGATCCTAAAGATGCTTTAAGTCTAGAAAAAATGAATCCAATTTAAGATGAGGCAGAGAACTTACAGAGACAAAACAGAAAGGAAATAACATGCCTTCGGGTTCAAAAGAAATTATGTTGAACTTCAGCAATGGATCGGAAGAGAAGAAATAATGCAAAAATATGGATAACCAGGCTGCCATGATTAATAAAGAATGTTCTAGCTCCTAAAGGCCAATTAATTGACACAATAATTCTTTTAAAAGCATAATAATGATGCAATGAAGTAAGGAGATGTTTCTTATGGGCACTTTCTAAGAGACAGCTGGTGGATGACATCAGGTAAGGATTCTAGGGTAAGTCTAGGGATACTGATGGACAGACAGCATAAAGTGGAAGGAATATGAATCAAAACGTTTTTCATCCTAGCATGGAGGTTTATGTCTAGTTCAAATGGAACTCAGATTTACCAGAAAACAGGGTTCAACCTTAAACTATAATTTGGTCTCCTTCACATTGCCCTGAAATTCTTTCAAGCCTTAATTAGAAAGTCTTGAGAAAGAAGTTTCTGTAGAATAATGAAATTCTGCTCTTTACAGTGAGGACACCCTGAGTATAAGTCTCATATAATTCCTGGCTAGTGTGCAACACACGTGGAATAGAATACTTTGAGGTTAAGAATGGCATTTTTTGGATATCAAGATAACCTTTCTGTAATAGCACAGTTTGGCATGCATTTGTTTTTAATTTAAAATGAGTTAAAATTAATTTTGTCTTAAAATTTTCATGCCACTTTCTGGGATGATTGGAGCTACCCTGGAGGGTGATGAAACTGGAGTGGGGAATCACAGCTTTAGTCTTTAGAGAGAAAGAAGCAATTTCCATAATTTCAAAATCATTTCATTAGTGGGAATATAGGGTCTGAATTTTCAAATCTAGGGAGCTGACCATATGCTCCCTCTCCAGTGAAAGAAATAGTGGCAAATTGCCACCATCTGACATGGAAAGAATTAAAGATGTATAGTAACAAGGAATTATAAACATGAATATAAGAGTAGTTCATTATGCATATCGCTTAATATAAATGTATGGTCTCTGTGTTAATACAAAGCTATTTTTCCCCTAAAGTTATAGAGTAATGTATCCTATCTTGGAGTTACCAATAGGTCAGCCAGAAGCTGAGTGCAATCAAGAGGGAAAGACTGAGAAAGAAAAATGCATTGTAAAATAGGCTCTCTAATATACTGGAAAGAGTCACTCCACAATATAGCAGCATCACCTGTGATTTTTATTCTGTGAATTTTTAATAGGACATCAGGTTCCAGTGGTGGCAATATTCACCAGAGACCAGATTCACTCCCTACGTTCAAATTAACAGCACAGTCTTAGAGATTTCTAGAGAAAGATATATAACGCTGTCAAAAGCACAGCATATTGTTAAATCATGTGTTAAAATAAGATCCAGAAGTCACAGTAAAAATTTTTTAAACTGCAATTGTGCAATGGAAATATTATTTCTAAAAAACATATATAGTTTCCCAAAACAAAATATGGTCTCTACTTAACATTTTTGTATCAAGCCATTTTAAAAGCATTCTTGCATAGAATTCATGGAATTCAAAGCCACTTTCACACCTGATCTGAAAGCTCATGTCATCCCTGGGAGTTCAGGAAGGTAAAATTATATTCTTTTTACTCTTTTATAAAGAAAGAGGCAGAGAACAGATAGACTATGTAGGTTATCCTGAGTCACAAGGCAGAATAGGGACAGATCCAGGAATTAAAACTCTAATGACCAATTCTGTGATAGGAAGGGGCTGTCAGGCATACACGTGGTCTAATGCACATTTTCACCTTTCAACATGTCTACAACATGGTTGGCCCAGGCAAACAGAGCCCTAATTCACTCTTACATTTGCAAGGTAACAAGCCTAAAATGAATTAAAAGGCATACCATGCCATGGCCTTGGGAAAAAACATCCTCTCTCATTGTCATTACAGAGAGAGACAAAATCATATCAAAGTAAGCTAGACAGTTAAAAGGGAATAGGAAATAAAAAGGAAGTGGCCAAGCGGTGCTGGTGGCAGCTGTCTGAAAGGGAACATCAGCAGGATCAAATAACAGAACCTTCTTAGTTGGTTCTTGAAAGCACAAACTAAAAAAAAAAAATCATACACACACCGCTATGCTGAATCTAAATACACATCCACACACAGTTTTAGTTTTAGAAGGTATAACGGCGAGCTTCTCACGGCAGACCAGATTAAGCACCAAAACCAAATGTCTTTGAAGTCAGCGTAGACAGTCACTTACGTGGCCTAGTTTGAGATGAGCTGAAAGCTCGCATCTCTTCATGGCTGGCATGGGGCCTCAAATCTCCTCCAAGAAAGCCATTTCGGAGGATTCAGGCTCAAATGCAAACATGTGACAAGGGAGGGATAATTTTAATCTAGATTTACCCATTAATACAATAGTTTGTCAGGATATCAGGGAAAGAATCAGGCATTGTAACAAGCAGGGAAAAGAAAAATGTAAGTAGAGGCCCAAAGGAATGTACCACACCTAGAAGGGGCGAGCCCTGTCACTGGGAAGCTCAGCAAATTGCTCTATTTGGTTGAAAGACTGTCAATTTATGAAGCCTGGAGAGCAGCCTTGCTAGGCAGTAAAATAATAAATTCTAAAGAGCTCAAAGGGCTCCAAGAGAGCATGTTAAGTAGTTGTTCTAACCATATGCAAGGGGTTACCTGTCCAAAATCTTTCAGAGAGTTCCCCTTTCCCCTCCACCCAGCCCTGGCAAAGCCATTATACATCTGAACCCTGCCTATCTCTGGAAACTTTCACTCATAGATCCTTCTGCCTGGAATTTGTGTGCAAAAAACAGGGCTTTGGCAACTCAAATTGACTGTTCAAGACTCAACTCAAGGCATTCCTCCAGGAAGCCATTGCCCAGGCAAGATAACACTCCCCTTTTCCATGTCCCAAGTGCACCATATCCAAACAGATCCCAGTTGGAACTGTACTATACAGAGTACTTTAGAAAATTGGACAAAAACACATGCAGACCAGTGTGCTCTAATCACTGCCCCGATTGACTTACATAGCTCAAAATGCACAAAAAGCACCCAAGAAGGATTTTGAAAAAAGGCAATGCAGCATCCCATAATTCAGGTAACCAAAGAAGAAGAGTTCAGCCTTAAAAACAGAATCAAAATACTCGCAAAGGATTCGTATACAAGCGGGATCTTTTTATGTTTATTATTTTGTCCATTTCCAGAACTCTGAGTCTTGAGATGTTAAAATAATAAAATATTGTTAAAAGTAAAGGGGCTTTTTAATCCTTCACTCACTGGCCTTACTGATAATAGAAAGAAAAATGCAACGTGTAGCTTAAAGTTGGAAAAAATATACGATTTTTCCACCCGTTGTGCAAAACTTTTCTTCTCTAGAAGAGCATATTTAGCCCACTAGTTCCTCAAAAAAGGGAAGGGGGCATTATTTGGACCTTTGAATTGAAAGTCCCGGCTTGATTCAAGGCCCCCAACTTAAAAATAAACAAACCAACGGAGTCAAGAGTGAATAGCAATTCACTGTGGAAATAATTAGCTGGAACAGCTAAACTATTGAAGTGACCCTTTCTTCAGGAACAAATCTGAAAAAATATAAAATATTGTAAACTGCTTAATTAGGCTTTTGGTTCTCTAGATTGTGTGTTTTTTACTTCAGTTTATTATGCTGCCATGATGGTAGCCTGTTTTTTCTACACTTTGCAGAGCATCCTATGTACCTAGGAAAAGACTGTTATTTGGAAATTAGTGAATAGATAACGAGAATTTGTTTGTTATAATTGATTCTGATTATAGAGAATGCTGCAGAGAAGGAAAGTAGGGATACAATGAGCTGACTTTAACCAACCATTGGTTGGTTACGATGGACTGTAACCAACCATGAAATAAAACTGTGTCACGTGAAGGTGTTCAAGAAGACGCATTACTGACAGCTGCAACATTTGAAATACACATGTAAGCACTATGTCTATTATTGGGTCTATTTTTAAAGTGTCAATAGGCTCTTCTATGAAATAAAATATTTTATGTCCTCTTGACTGATAGTAAATGGAACTGCCAATATATATGAGAAGTAAAAGTTTCCCCAAATTTTATTATGAAGGCTGCTGAGGAGAGTTAGCTCGGATGACCTTCACCCTTTGGAGACTCAGAATATCTCTGCTTTTCAAGTAGTTTGCTATATCTACAGACACCATCCAAGTTGGAATTAATAGCCTGAACATAGGCATGATTTAATCAAAATGTCCTTGGTGCCTAGTCCAGCATTTCAATTTAAGAATTGAAATCCAGTTTCTACATTTTAAAAATCAAATCCATTCTCTACGGAAAATTTTTACAAAACATCTTGGCACCTGCAATGCTGAAAATAGATCCAGCCCTATTTAAGAGAAAGTAACGGCGAATCAGGGATTTGTGCAATGGCAGTAAAATGCAGTTAAGTGTGGTCGTGCCGGGTTTTAGTCTAGAGACAGGGGGTTTTTATAGCACATTATAAACTCCTGAAACGGGAGGTTATTAGAGGTTCAGTTCTCTAACTGTGTGGTTCTAGCAGGCTCTGCTCTGTTGCACACTTTATTCTCCTGCTGGGAGCTCTGTCTTCTGAGGTGCAGAGCACATCCATCAGCCTTTTTCAGCTGTTAGCGCACTTCATTTATTCCAGTGTTCCCTTCATCTTCTTCCCTTGCCTCTGCCCGCATGGACCTCAGAGATCTACAGTTCTCTTTGGCCTCTTAACAGGCATAATGGATCACCAGCTGAACCATGATCACACAGCCCTTCTTGCTAGGAAATTATTTCTCTCTTGCTTCAAATGTTCTTTCCCTTCACTTGGTGAATCCCTTTGCTGCTGTTCTGGCTGTAGTCTTGCCTATATGCAAAGAGAGAAAACTTGGTCAAAAACGCTGACTTGCCTTTTGAAGTTCTCTCTCGAGTATTGGTCCTTTCTTGATCTTTTCCCAAAAATAGAGGTTTTATATATATATATATATATATATATATATATATATATAAAATCTCCAAAATGAAAATACTTGCTCAAGAAAAATGTGTTATTATCATCAGGTCTCTATTATTTATGTCCCCAATAGATTACTGTTCAATTATTCAACTATTTGTAAAATTAGCTCTGCTGTCTTATTAATATTAGAGTCCTCTCATGTTGAAAAGTACTTTCCTAAGTACAATATTCTGTTTTAGAAAAAAAGAAAGCTACTAAATTTTATGAACAACTAGAGATAACGAAATAGCAAAATTCCCAAAAAGAGGCAATCTCAAACCCTTGAGACTGTTAGCTATCTTGCTATACTAACGTCCATATCTGTTCCATACTATTTTCATTAATGAATGATGATTTGGTTGGTCTAACCCCTCCTGGAAGAGCTAAAGTACGTGCTAGTGGAAACATCACTAGATTGGTGACTAGAGACCAGAATTCCAGTCTCAGATCTATGTTGATTAATCAAATGGTTCTGGGAAAGTCACCTAAATTTTGGGGACCTCAGTTTCCTCGTGTATTAAGAGTAGGTTGGAGTAGATCACTATGATCCCTTCTAAGACTAGTATCCTAGGAGAAAATTTTAACTAACTTCCCCTTTTTTCATTGCTTAACTCTCTCCTTTCTTTGTGGTCCTACCGGCTCCCTACTATGTCCCAAAGTGGTGGTCCATTTGGTATCAAAATTAACCTATCCTACAATGGGGCCCCTGAGAATTAAGAAAGATCTCATGATGGAATAAAGATCCCAAGAATATCTTGACCGTCCCCCAGTTTTGTCCCAATCCAGTATTATACAATGGAGAGAATAAAAAAGGAATAGTCAGCCAATTCCTATTGCAAACATGGGGGCAGTGTAATTAATCTCCAGGAAGGACGGCTCTTGCATTTAGGAAAACATCTTGAGGGGCTTTTTGGATAGCAAAGGTTAGTTCCTCCCACCACTTGCACCAAAAAATAAAGGACTAAATTCTTTGAAAAGGTATCTCAAGTTTCTGCCCATGAAATAGAAGTGTCAAGGATCCCAAAAATTAAGGAAGAGATGATGTGTAAGGCAGCTTGAGAAAAAAAGGGATTTCTAAACACCAATCAATTTTAAGAAATATTTAGACTTCATGTTGAATGCGTCACATGGATTTACTCCCTTCACCACTCCATCTTCTTCTGCCACATTCCAAAGCTCTGGTAAAAGTCTGCTGCCCATAGCAGGCTTGCACTGGTGAAACTTGAGGCAGAAAAAGAGAGGTGGTGTCTAGTGTGGAGTGAAAGAATAGGAAAGCCAACAGAGCCTCAGGAGCCAACCGTGACAGTGGGAGTCAGACTGCAACACTCATTCACCAATGAAGGAGAGATGAGGTCTCTCCTGCCCTTGGGCACAGCCACCCTGACTGTGTTTGAACATACTAGAAACCTTCATAGTTCCTATCAGCATACAGCATGGAAGCTGGAATCACCATATTTAGCTATTAAAAGCTAGAATGACCCTTGAGGTGTGAAGATGAAAGGGCTCGAGGTGACAGTCATTGACCCATCCCTGAACTCACTCCCTTAACCCTCCCAACACATTTCCCCAAAGCCTCATTTTTTTCTATTTCCATCAAATACTGCCCTCCTGATCTACTCAAATGTGAACATATTCCCTGAGTAAAACAGTTCAATATCCAGTGATCAAGAGAAGGTCATCTAGCCTCTGTCCACTTTGCAGGTCTCTGGTCATCTCTGTTGCATATCAGCACTGCTCTAGGAGAGGGGGCTGGGGAGAAGGCATGTGAGAGCCGTGGTCTTCTAGGCCAGATGACTGTAAAGCTGTAAACAGGATTGAGACAAGCTCCCCATAAAAAATAGGATACAGGCATCGATTCTCTCCCTCTACATCCTCTGAAGATTGCAAATCAGGACAAATCACTCTTTATCATCTCCATCTTTTTCTTTACCTCTTTCTAGCTTTTTATTACCCTCTTTCACACACACACACACACACACACACATAATTACACTTGAAAAATCAGGTAAAATAAGAACATTAAAACTCGTCTTTATCTGTTGCTTAATGATGACATATATCTCTTACTTTGCTTTTTCCAAATAGAAATAGCTTTTTTGTTTTTTATTATCCTTATCAATGCTTATCATAGGATAATTAGAACTGCCAAAATGGATAAAGGAAAAATAAAGGTCATTCGAGATGCTACTAGTCAGATAAAATCACTGTTTACATTTTAGAGCATAATCTTCCCAGTTTTTTCTAAACATGATGCTTATTTTTTTCTTACAAATATTACATATGTTATTCATACTATTTTATACACACTTTTTTCAGCTAAAAATATATCATGGACCTCTTCTGATTTCAAAAGATAAATATGTGCCTTCTCATGGCTAAATAGTATTCCATTTTATAAATGTACACAAATCATTTAGCATCCCCAGTTTATGAATATTTAGTAGTTCTTTTCCTAATTTTTTCTATTAAAAATAACACTACCATGTTCATCCCTGTACAGTTATGCATTTTTTTAACTATTTCATGATGAAAGTTCCTAAAAGTGAAATTTTTTTATCAAAAGGTATTTGCATTTTTAAAAGTTTTGGTCCATAATACCAAATAACTCTCCAGAAAGATAATCTAATTTTGACCCCAACCAGAAAAGTATAAAATAAAAATCACACACACACACATCCTTGCCCACCTTGGAGACTATTAATTGCTTTCATTTCTGCTAATTTTGTTGTAATATGAATTCATTTGATTTCTACTGCAAATGAGATTAAACATTTCTCCATATGTTAATCAGCCATTTTCATGTCTTCTTCTGTGGATTTTTTTCTTTACATGCCAGGAATATTAGCCATTTTATTTCATGTATTTTGCAAATATTTTTCCAGGTGACTATTTGTCTATATTGTTATTGCCGTGGAGAAATTTTTATTTTTTACGTACTCCCATCTAGCAATACTTTTCTCTGCCTTCCTGCGTTTGGTGCCATACTTAAAAAGGCTCTACACAGATCAAGATTATAAAACCATTCATCTACATTTTCTTTTGCTCTTTTTCAATTTTCATGTTAAAACATTTAATCCCTCTGGAATTCAATTAGGGTAAGATGCAATTCTTTTAAACGAAATGGTCAGCACGTTGTCCCAACAAATTTGTCATCTACCCTTTCCTCCACTGTATTAAAATTCCACTTTTATCACATACTGAAGTATTATACTTACGTGGATCTATTTCTGGAACTTCTAGCCTATTGTGTTAATCCATATATACCTATACCACACTGTTTCAATTACTACTGTATTCTATTTTAATACTCAGAAAGTGTATCTCCCCTATTTCTGTTTTCTTTCTTTTTCTATGTTTTTCTCAGATATTTCTTCATCCAAGTTAACTTTAGAATCATTTGCACTTTCAAAAAAATATGCAGTGCTGTCTTAAAAAGAAAAAAATCTTCACTAAAGTAGAAATCAGATTGAATTATCTGAGAGAGTGGAGAGAAATTCTGACATAGTGGGAAGCCAAAACCTGCTCTTGAGGATTGACTCTCAACTAAAGCTACAAATTTGGCAAGTTTTTAGCCTCTCTGAATCTCAGATCTTTATCTGCAAAATGGGGCTAATAAAACCTACATGTAGTGACATCTGACATACTCTTTGGTCACCCGTCACTGGAACCCCATTCCTAAATTTGGAGAATTCTTCACCTAAAAATTCTTGTGAGAGGCACTGCTCCTTTATAGAAAGCTAATAATGCTGGGTACTCACTCTTCCACCTTCTTTTGAAGCAAAGCTCAGTCGAGAGACCTAGATTCTGCCTGTCATAGGCACACACCCCAGTTTGAAGTCAGTAGCTGGTGAAACAAGGAAAAGAGTCCACGAAGAAAAATCTCTGGCCGTGAAGGCAATGTCAGCAGTTGCTGGAGTAGCAGCAGCAGTAGTGTCTACGATAGAAACCCAGGGTAAGGAGCCGTGATGTCCTCTCTGAACCTGGTTTTCCAGGTGTCTCAGAGATTCCAGAAGGCTCTCTATATCCTTTCCTGCTTAAGCCAGTCAAAGTTGGTTTCTGTTCTTTGCAACTAAAAATCCTGCCTTATAACGATCCACCCTGGGCTGTCTGAGCAACGAAGTGAGAGAAAGCATGCATTCTCAGCATTCTTGATACCTTCCCTTTCTATTGACCTCCCTTCTACACCCTGATCTGTCCACCACAATGTTAACCCATAATGGACCGCAGCAATGAGCTCCATGCTCCCCTGGTTTCTAATTGAGTTCAGCCAACAGAAATCCCCAGCATGAGATGTGATGGAGGAAGGAGAGCTGGGGAAAAGTATTTACTCCCCCAGCTCTTTCTCTAAAGGCTTACTGTTCAGGGACTATATCCCTTCCTTGAGCTAGACCTCTTAGCAGTCAGTCCCCCCTCTCTCTCTGAGTTCCAGCTGTCCCTCAGGCCCAAGGGTCATGAAGACATTCTAAGTCTACTCTTACCAGCCCCGAGGTAACTCACAATCTCTTCCACAATTCTACACAATACCAAAACATTTTTTAATTGTCCTATTATTATGTTCTTCCCAAATTTCCTATTTTTACTTAGTTTTCTCCTTTTTGCCTGGGCCCCCATATGCAAGCAAAAGCTCCTAGTACAGTGCCTGGCTGATAAGAGGGCTCCAGAAAACTTCCGTGACTGAAAATATCAAATGTATTCCTTTTTTGTTTTTCCTATTCTGTTGATATGGTAAAGCCAAAGAGGCAAGAATGAGATGATTTAATTTTGTGGGCATCTGAAGTCCTCTGCCGTTTTCAAACAAAGTTAGTGGGGTCTTCTGCCTCCTAAGACTCAGAGCAAAAAATCTAGAAGTATGTCCCTCACATACAAATTTG